ATCTGGCATAGTGACTAAGATGCTGGACTGGAAACTGGAAGGTTGAGTTCTAGTCCTCCCTTAGGCACAGAAACTGGCTGGGTGACTTTGGACCAGTCCCTCACTTTCAGCGCAACCCACCTCACAGAATTGTGGCTGTGAAGAGCATAAGGTATATATACTGCATGAGGTATATAAAAATCAGATAAACAAAATCAATAGAAGAGAATATTTGTACCTCAGGGCTGAATTGCAGGATCATTGGTACACTCTGAGCTTGGTTGTTTTCTTGCAGGTGTTTCATTACCAAACTAGGTAACATCATCAGTGCTTGGGACGTAGCTAAGTTAATATAGTTTGGTAATGAAACGTCTGCAAGAAAACCACCAAGTTCAGAGAGCACCAAGAATCCCACACAGACAAAATCCTTTCCTTTACTGCTAATTACACTGTCGCCTTTGGTATGGAGTGTGTTTTATTCCTTTAGATTATTTTAAGCAAAATTGCATGCTATTAAATAATTTCTCCTAGCAAGGGCATCCTTCCAGATTTTTTCTTTATAATTTATAATTGCCTGTAAGGTGTCCTTGTGTGCTATTTACCAGAGCATTATTATAAGCAGAGGACAGACTAACTGCCTCAAAGGTACTTTGAGAAGCAAAATGATTTTGTCACAAAGATACTTTGTTTCTATGGTATTACCAGGAGCAGGAAGTTTATCTGCTAAAAGATGTATGCTCTCCGCAGATTCTTCATATAGACTGAAATATAAGAATGAAAAATATAAAAAAAATATTCTCATTCAAGAATAATATGCTTTATCCAATACAAGTATCAAAATTATGAAGCACTGTATTTAAATATGGAAAAAGAGAAAAAATGATTTACTTCAAATGAAATGCATGCCATCAAAGTTTTGGTTAATGAATTTATCAGCATCAACAATTTCTTGCTAAATCAGCTATTCTGCTGCTACTCCTAGTAAGAATGCTTACTTTCCCCTATATATTCAAAGACCATTCCAAAGTTCAGAAACTATATTCTCAGATATATTTTCCAACATATTACTATACAAAATAGATCAACTTACTCAATGAGTGATACTGATTCCCAACTATTATCTTCTTCCTCAACATTTTGATCAGCAAGATATTCTTTAATATTTCTTCGAATAGAGCTTTTGCTTTGTTCTGTCTCTTCATCAAAACTGATGTCCTCCCAGTCGGTACTACAAAACTATTCAATTAAAAGAAAATTCTATAAGGGTTGAAAAAACTGGAACTAATGTTTGGGGTAATTATATGTTTCCAGTGACTCACCTGGGAAAATCCACAGATTGACTGAACTGCAAAATACCATTCTTTCACATATGGAATGCCAGTAAGAGAACATGCTAAAAGGAGAAGTAATATACACGTTACAATGAATTTTAGAAAGTTTAAAATACAAGCCTCATTTTTTTCAGGAAAACACGCTACATGAAATGCCACGATTCCAATAGCTCTTAAGAATTAAAATAGCATACAAGGAAATAAAGCAATCCCTTTCTCTCTAGAAACGTAAAAACCAATATAGCGGTAGCAAAGCCAAAGTGCTATTTCGGATAAATGCAGTAATTAACTGTGCTTTCTTTCCTCCCCATCACTCACGAAAAAGTTAGCTGGTTGTTTTTCTGTCAGTGTTTTGATTTTTTTTTTTAAAAAAAATGTATTGTATGTCACAAATATATTTGCCTGCATTGTAGGGAGAAAGCTAGTGGTTTTATTTATTAAGCTACTTATGACTCCCAGGAGGGAGGGGGCTGAATTCCAGAGGAGCTAGAGATAGTTGTGTGAGAGAAAAAGGGTGAAGACAGCTCCTCCCTAATAGTTCTCAGAGTATATGCTTTATGCAAGTTTGCTTTAGTTTGGCAAGATTGATGTCAGGCTCCAAAAACCAAGAAAGACACTTTGTGATTCTTCCAAGCATATTTCTTTATTGTTCCTCTCCTTTGCCTTCTATAGCCAACAATGAGATATTTCAGCAAGCTCAAAAGCAGCAAAGCTTTCAGACATTCACTCCTGCTATGTCCTCAGCAGTTTAAGTTCACCCACTGTGCTAGGCAGAATGTAGTTTGCTGTAGAAGAGCTTCGCCTTACCTGGGAAAGTTTCAAATGTTGCCTTTTGAGAGGGATTGCAATTTATTTCCAGCAAGTTATAAATATTTTCAGCCGTCAAACCTGGAAAACATAATTGAGTTTATTGAAAAATCACAAAAACAAAGCTGCGTGGTCTATTTATCCAAGTACAAAATCTCATTTTACAAACTCCACTGGCAACTCTAGCAAATAGGTAAAAATGAATTAGTTTAAAACTTGGTGGGGGTTTTTTTGCACCTGTGTTTGTGTAGAATCTGGGTTTGAGTGCAAGATCTTGGGGGTTTTCTGAGAAACCCTGCTGGCAATCCTGCTCGGTGTATGCATCCCACGGTCAAGACTACTATCTTGGAGAACAAAGTACATAAAATAAGTTTGTCAGGACTCAGATCTCCCTAGAAGATTGATGGGGCTACATTAGTTTAACCGGAGTCTGCTTTGCATTAAAAGAAGCATTAGCTGACTAAGTCAATACACTTTTAAAATAGGTTTCCTTAAAACAACCATCTCTCCCCCCCCACCATCACACATCCCATAACTTAGTTTACCATGAAGTAGGAACAGGACTAGTGGTTTAAACAGGAGAAAAAGCCAAGTAGGGAGAAAAAAAGAACCTGATCTCTTAACTATCAAATAATTAATCCTATCAACATTTTTTTGGGGGGGGAGGGGTATTTCAAATTCCGTAGGCAGCACAAATCATTATTCCAAACATCCCTTCATAGTTACCCACTGGTACTTGCAATACAGAAGTACCCAAAGGTACTTTAAAAAAATAAAAATAGAAAAATTCTCTCTGCTCAGTGAAAGATTATACACTTATTTTTCTAGTTTCATGGTTGGAGAGGGGATAACCTGGCATTCTAGGTTATCCTGCAATAACCCAAGACATCCGAAATGGTATAGTGTTTCCTGCCTGAGCAGGGGGTTGGACTAGATGACCTTCAAGATCCCTTCCAACTTTACTACTACTACTACTACTACTACTACTACTACTACTACTACTACTACTACTACTACTACTACTACTATTATTATTATTATTATCTAGGAAGGCAGCCTAGTGGGAAGGCTCTCATAAACAGACAGCAGAAATCGAACGGGAAAAGGACAGAGGCTGCCCTACCAATCCCACAGGCCCGCTAAGTAGCAGCACTAATCCATCCTCTCTAAAAACTAAGCTATCGGATGGGAGACCACTCGGAGATGCCAGTACAGGCAGGGAAAGCAAATCTCCCAAGAGGTCAAAGTTAGCAACTCGTTCCTATAAAAATTAAAAAAAAAGTCGCGGACGTGTCTTTGATAAGAGTGAAGGAGGGAGCCATCTCGAAACGGCACCTGAAAGGCCTCCAGGATCGGTCTGGCCGCGCCGGAGCCGCCAGCTGAGGAAGAGCAGATAGCGGTCCATAGCTGTCGTCGTCGCCGCCGCCAGTTAAACCTCCCGCGCCGCCCCTCCGACACTTCCCGCCTCGGGTGGTCCGCCCCTTCCGCTACTGAGGAAGGGGACCG